GTGTGTGTCCCCCCCCCCATGCACGGGGGCGGCCAGGCACGCCAGATTTATTTTAATGGACCAGATGGTCGTGGTTGGAACTTGTCGAAATGCCCTTGGAGAGGGTTTTGGCTTTAAAAAAACCCAACAACTAACCCTCTTAAAAAATATATATTTCCCCCCCCTCCACATACACACCCCCCCTCTTTCCACCCCTCCCAGCCTGGGAGCAACTGGGCGCTCCTGGGGAACACACGGACATGGGGACAGACAGGGCCAGGTGGTGCGTGGGGATGGTTGGGACTTGGGGTGCCCGTGTTGGGCATGAGTTGGTGGGTTGATGGCTGAGCTGCCGTGGGTCCCTGCACCCCTGGAAATGGGGTGCACCACCAAAACAACAAGGTTCCCATCCCTCCTGACACTGCCAGCCTTGTTAGCACCTAAGGAGGGCCAGGTTGCCATGGGTGTTCCTTAAGGCCAGGTGAGGTGATGCTCTCACAAGAGGGTGCTGCCAAGGGGTGTGGGTAGAGGGGACCAGGGAGCCAAGCCCTGGCTTGTGAGGGGTGCAGCACAACAGCATCCCCCTTCCCACACCCTGCTCCTGAATCCCATCCTCTCCCTCCCCACAGTCAGCCCTTGGGAAACAAATTTGGGAAACGAATATGGGGAATAAATATGGGGAATATCTGTGGGTGCCTCTGTGCACCCTGCTGGGGCAGGGCCAGCTCAGCACCTCCTGCACCCATCCCACCTTGCCCCACATCCCGGCTGCACCCTCACAGCCATCCCTGTGTCCCTGTCCCCTGTGATTCACCCAGGACCGTGCCAATCCCTCCGAGAGGGCACGTCCTCCTCCAAATTACCACATTCCCCAAATTCCTCTCCCCTGACACCACCACGTGAACCAGTTGGACGGGCTGGGTTAAAAATAACCCGGCGGGGCAGCAAGAGCTGGGGGGACACATACACATACACAACGTGCCTGTCCCTGCTCCCACCTGCTGCGGGGACACACGTCCCTTTGCCTGGCCCCTTGGTCACCCCTGCAGTGCTGGCACCAGTGGGGCACGGGCTGGTGTGGGCATCCCATGGGGCACCCCCCAAATAAATAGGTGGTGGGGGGTGTAGAGCACCTGTACACCTTGATGTTGGATGCTGGCATCACCTGGCGCTGCCAGTGGTCCCGGGGGT